GTTATACAACATTTCAATATACCAATTGGCCTTCTATCCGAAGATGCAACAGAAGCAAGTCATAAAGAATTTCGAAAACACCGATTAAACCACACTAGAAAATCATCAAGAGTTTCATCGAATAAAGATCTTTTAAATCATTTATTATTAGCTTCGGAACCACTTATATCTTCGCAAAGGAAACAAATGCGAAGGAAATCACATGCCTATGATGACATGGCGGAATATTTGATTGAAGAGAGCGTAGATTGCTCCGGTTCCGAATTTGATATAGAAAATATTACATTCAGTGACACCTCTGATGAAAGCGAATAAAGTAATTGAAATACGAGTATATGATATATGTATATATTATGAAAACTCATGAAACTTGTTATAAGTAATATATTATTTGAAACAACTCTTTTTTATATGCTTTATATTTGTAAGTAGTTGGTTTAGAAGAAGGAATTTTATGCTAATTTTTCAGATACTTTTTTATAAATATTATTTTTGCATTAAATTTCAGTAAAACTAAAAATGGGACCACGCCCATTTTTTAGAAATATGTTAACATTTTAAAAACATTTATTTGTCTAAAATTTCATTGAAATTGAATCCAATTTGTGCATTTTGATCATTCACTTTGTATGACATGTGGGCGTAAGAATGGGCGGATCACGCCCATTTTTCAGAAATATTGTCATATTATAAAAACACATATTCCTGCAAAATTTCATTGAAATTGTAGCCAATTTGCGCATTTTGATCATTCACTTTGTATGGCAGGTGGGCGTAAAAATAGGCGGACCATGCCCATTTTTCAGAAACTTTTTATTATCCTTAATATAAGTCTTTATGCAAAATTTCATGAAAATAGCATAACATTTACTATTTTTGTCCGCTTGTTATATGAACACGTTACACTGTGCGTCGTATGCAGCTTGTAACTAAGGTCAGCTTGTCGGTAAGAAATGCTGATTTTCGGTTTTGTTAATTGTGTCAAGCTGAAAGCGACATTGGAAATAAATAATCAAAAAGTTGCAAAAATATCGAGTGCAACCATTGAGTATAAATATTATAGAGTAGAAATCTGAAAATAAACTCAATTTGCCTAATGGGTCTGTGGGGGCGCGGGTAACAACGTAACAAGAAATAGAGAGCAAAATGCATTTCTCTATAGCGCTCTATAATATAGTGAGCACGTGCATGTAAGTTTTTTGTTTTGATTTTGTTTCCTTGTACTCTACTTTTTTTATATTTAATAGAAACTAAATATCACTTTTCAGCACCGAATTTAAATAGAGGAATATATTCTACTTTATGGTCATAGGCATAGGCATATGCATATGTTATTGTTTTTGTTTCAGAACTTCCTAGAAATAACTACTCATGTTTTTTTTGAATGAATTTTATTAGTTTTGGGCTTATTATCATATATTTGTTATTTTCCCATATATATATATGTATATATTTATGTATAATTATATACACATAGTAGAAAAAGTCTACGGATATTCACATAATTTTTCTCTTTGAAGTTATTTGTAATTCTCTGCACAGATGAATATTGACGACCAATATCTTCAGCAAATTTTCTTTGGCTTATGTCATCTTTCTAAAATTTAACAGTTATTTGTCGCGCACTAAACTAGAATCGAATTGTAAAATTATTTCGATTTCCCCCAAGTGACAATGTATTGGGACAAATTTGGCGTGAAAAATGTGACATTCCTTTGGAAATGTATGAAAAGCAGTTAAAAATTTGTGATATGCATTTTGCACCTTCAGATATAGGCAGCCGTTTCTTGAAAAAAGGTGCTTACCCAATACACAATTTAGGAACTGTAGCTGAAGAGGCGGACAATTTTGCGCAACCACCAAGGAACTTTGGCGATATAGGTGGTATGCAAGATGAAGTATTCTGCCGCAATTGCGAAATGCAAACTAAATGCGCAAACACATACAGAAGGAAATATGTCAATCTTCTTAAGGAAAACATAAAATTAAAGAAAAAGTTACAACTATTAAAAACTACAAAAATTACTGCAAATAAAAACGTTGTAGTTCAGGCCATCGACTCTGTGGCAAATGTAAATATTGAGACCAAAAACTTTTGTAAAATGATCCTAAAAGCGCGACAGAAAGAATATGATGAGAATACAAAACTAGTAGCTGAAAATATGTTTCTCGTATCTCGATCAGCATATATATTTTTAAGAAATAAATTGAAAATTAATTTGCCACATGAAAAAACAATTAACAATTAGTCACCTATAAAAAATTTGCAGCCAGGATTTTTAAATACAGGTTTCGAAAGCTTGAAAAAGAAAGCCAGCACACTAAGACAAGTTGATAAGGACTTTGCAATATTGGTTGTTGATGAAATGAGACTAAGGCCAGAATTACGTTACAACGGTAACTTAGACCAAATAGATGGCTTTGAAGAACTTGGCTTTTTTAGAAGTAAAACTATTGCCAAAAGCCTTTGTCTATTTATTGTCAAAGGTCTTTTCTCTAATTGGTCAATAATTCTTAATTATTTTGTGTCAGAAAATGGTTTAGAAGGAGATTGCCTCAGCAATATAATTTTAAGAAATTTGGAGCTCCTACAAGAAGCTGGTATAACGGTACGCGTAATAACATGCGATCAAGGTTCAGCTAATAGAAAAGCATTTTCTTGCTTTCAGGTTAGTCCAGAAAAACCTTTTTTCTATTTTAACAATATTAAAGTATATTGTATGTTTGATTTTCCACATTTAATTAAATGTGTGCGAAATGGACTTCTGACTACAAATATAAAAGCATCAGATGGCATTATAAGTTTTAATGTATTGAAAGAACTGTGGAGACGGGAGCATACTGCTGTAACAAAATTGTGCCCCAAGCTAACAAGGCAACACATCTTTCCGAAAAATTTTGAAAAGATGAAGGTGAAGTTCGCAACTCAGTTATTTAGCAGAACGGTGCATGCTGCTATAAAAACAGTGGTTGAAACAGACGGATTTACCAATTCATCTAAAGAAGACGCTTTAGCAACAGCAAATTTTGTAGAAAAAATGGACAAAATCTTTGATTGTATGAATTCCACCAATCTCTACTCAAAGAATCCTTTTTGTTGTGCGTTACAAAAAAATAGCGTTAGTTTCAATTACATAAAAGAGTTTTTGATATACTTTGGATCATTAAAATTTGTAGACTCAACAAAAAAGGTGTATTTCTGGAAAGGTATTAAAATAACTTTAAATGCTGTGTTGCAGCTTACAGAAGAAGTTTTTGCAAAAGATAATGACATTTATTTTGTAATGACAAATTATTTATGCCAAGACAGACTGGGAAACACTTTTTCAATTTTACGACAAAAGGGAGGATACAATAAACATCCTTCGGTGTCCGAAGTCAATCAAATTTTAGCTAAAGTAATGACCAGAAAAATCATTGTTGCTTCTCCTGATGGTAATTGTGAGATAGTAGAAGATGATCACACCTTCGACGCAGTAATGGATGGCATTTCAAATACAAATACTATCTCATGTATAACTGAAGAAGATGATTCGGAAATTGATTGTAGTGAAACATTGATTGAAAATTGTATAGTGAGCTATAGCTCAACAGATTTCGATATAACAAAAACTGAGCTTCCATCGTTTCGTTATTTTCTAGGATATATCGCATTTAAAGTTTTACTAAAAATCGATTGTCAATCATGTTTTAAGTCAATACGGAAAGAAGATGAGGTTGTAACTGCACCAACAGAATTGTTTCTGTTCTATAAGAATTACTGCAATATAACCTATTTCGGGAGTTTATTACCGCCTTTTGATGAATTTTTTCAAATAAGCTGTCAACATATATCTGTTTTTAAGAACATTTTTAAAACAAAACCAGATGAATTTGATATCAAAAAAAAGATCATTGAAAGCTGTGTGTCATTGACTCCTGCCTGGTTTATGAATGATTGCAACCAGCACAGAAAACAGTTGTTAAATTTTATGGTTGTTATTTTACTTCGCAAACATAGTCAATGGGCCGTTGAAAAAGTCAAATGGTCGAAACAATAATATAAATAATTGTAATATTATGATAAAACTGTGATATTAATAACATATGTGTATACTGAACCAAGTAGTAAGCCTTTATATATATATATACATATGTATATTTAAAAACAGTTTTAAATCAGAACTGAAACAATTTAGAAGGTGATGGAGTCATCAAAATTAATGCTAAAATAATAGAAACGCACAATTATCTTTAAAAGCATAAATAATAATAGCATTGTTTCTGATATGAAACCAAAAAAAGCCGAAATTCTTTTTACGTTTACAATTTCTTAACATTGGATGCAAAATTAATACAAACATACAGGCTGAGAAGTACAATACAAATATGTAAACATATATGTACGCTAATAAAGTGCATATGTTATATGAAAGCACACAAAAAGGCTGGACTAATATTTTTTTCCTGCATTTACCTTCATAATAAATTCGCAGAAGCACTGATCAAAATAACAAACAACGAAAAAAGTTATTTGAGAGAATCGTCTTTACTTTAATTTCCAAAGCAATTTAGAAAAAAAGACATGAAGAGAATGGAGTGTTTTTTGAGTGCAAAAAGGTTGCCAGCAGCAGCAACCTCATACAAAAATTTGCTTGTACGAGATTGCTACTCTATAATATTTATACTCAATGGTGCAACTTAAGTTATTGACGTTTTTGCGAGTTACGCAGAAAACTATTGAATAATAAAAATAAAGTAATTTGGGGCACCTTGAAATATCGGCATCATGCAAAGGTAAGACCTTTAGAGTTTTTGTTTATAAACAATAGTCTAAAGGCAGTTGATGGTCAGTTGGAGTCAATAGTCAGTTGGAGAGAGTCAGTTGTGTTAAGCAGTTGTGTTCTGTGGGTGAGCTCGTGCTCTACAGCCACGAATTAGATAATTAAGATAAATTGATAAAAGAAAGGAATTGAAGGATAAAGAAAAAAAAAGAGTTTGTAAACAATACAAATATATATATTATAAAATTGTGACAAAAACAAAATAACATAAATGTTTGTTATCGCACGCTCTCACTTTGTGAGAGCTCAAAACACAAAAGCATTGAGCAAGCTTTAAGTAAAAAGCTTTATTTGCTGATAAGAATCAAAATACAAACAAAAATTTAAACAGACGATAAACTACATCATATTTATTTGTAAGCTCAGACTATTTGAATATAAAAGTAGGAGCATTGCTCACTTAGATTAGATTCTTGTATGGTTAGAACACAGTCATATGTAAATGCTATTCATTCAATAAATATTTTTTAAAACTTAACCGGACTATTAATCTCATTAATTTGTATATTGAAAATTTGTTTAAGTGAAAATGTATGACAATAGAAATAAATAAAAATATTTGAATTACTTTTACGTAATGTCTACACAAAACTTGTGCGTTGTTTTTTGAAAGTGTTACTGTTATTCAGTGGAAGCGAATCAGCAGTTAAGCAAACTAATTGTGTTCCAAAAAAAGTAATAAAAACTTTGATAATTATTGTCGTGAGCTGGTCGAAGGAGTAAGCAAACAACGGGTACTCCGAAAAACATAGCAAAGAAATAAAGCAACATTGTGAAATACAACAGCCGTGTTTTCTTAATTCGAGTTGTTGATTAAAGAGCACATTGAAAAAAATATTGTTTACAAAAGATAAATAATAAAAGTTAATATTGTAACATAAAATTTATGGTCGTAAATTTTACAATTTTACAAAAATAGAATCAAACACTAACAAAATTGATAAAACAAGTATTAAAACCCACCACCAAATTTAATACAAAATAAAACCAACAGAACAATAATAAAAACTTGTAAACAACACACCGTTGTAGTTACAAAAACAAAATTACTGTATGCTTCGTACCTCGCGGATATAAAAGGCGAAGCAAAAGCACAAGAAGGGCAGTCAGCAAAGCATCGAGCTAGTGAAGACATCGTTCTAAACTTACAAGCTGATACATCGGTGAATAGAAATATACATTTCAGTTCGCATTGTTTTTTTTTATATATAATAGAAATAAACATTTCTATTATATAATTACTTGTAACGAAATCAATAGTGCGTTATATAGTAGCAATAGAAATATACATTTCTATTATTTTTCTTTGTATATAACGAAAGCAACATTTCGCTAGAACCCCGTAGTATAGAAATATACATTTCGACTATTTACGCATCTTTTGATAACGACATCAACAGTGCAGGCAGGGAAGGAATTTACAATTCTTCAAAGAAGGCAGTGATTTCACAGCAGAGTAACACTATTTGATCCAAACTTACCACCGTCCTAACAAATAAATTTATTGTAGGACTGGACCTGGAATCCGGCGAGCACGACTTCGGCCAGAAAGTTTCGTTACAATATTATTTACTAACAGTAAATAATAAAAGTCGCGTGTGTTTTTGATGTAGACACTTGGATTTATAGGATCAGTTATTGAAATGCATTTGGTGAGTAAAGGTGATGTTTTTTCTCAAAATAGAGTGCAACTCAAAAAGAGTGCTTATAGAATAATAAATGACTGTGTAAACGAATTATTAAAGAAAAAATAAGGTGTTAAGCCAACTTGGCATCATAATGCTTTTTTTTGTATATTATTATCGAATATTTTATTTTTAAAGTTGTAACGACCACTTTTCAGTTGTTTTGTTTTCCTGAGGTAGCAAAGCGGCTGTCCAGGTCCGTTGCAATAAAATTTATGTTCGCTGAGACCAAACAAAAAAAAGGCGTAGATTTGATATATTTTATTAATGCTTTATTTAATGATTCAAAACAAAATAATTATAATAGTTATAATTTAGATAAAAAACTTTGGTACGTTGACAAAAAAAATATTATTTTCCAAAGATCGGAGAAATTTATGATTTCCGCGCGTTACTATTTCTTAGGGGTGGACTTATGTCACCTCAGTATATGAATTATATAAAAGATCACCTGCTGTCAAAGATGACGATGTTTCAGCGACTGGCTCTGGCTTATCCGTTAAGAAGACTCCTGCCTTGTGCTAAGGGATATAATAGTTTGGCTGAATGAGCCAGATTAGAAAATAAATGTAAAAAAGAAAAAAAACAATAAAAACAAATGATCAAATAGACCAGTAGGATATCCTGACTTGATCGATCGGACCAGTTTAGGCTGATTAAGCCTGTAAGCTAATATTGATCGAATTGACCAGTTTTTATCCTGATTTGATCGAACTGACCAGTTTAGGCTGATTAAGCCTGTAAACTAATATTGATCGAATTGACCAGTTGGTTATCCTGATTTGATCAAACTGACCAGTTTAGGCTACTTAAGCCTGTAAGAATATTGATCGAATTGACCTGTAGCGTGCATAAGCATACACTATGTGAGTAAATAAGTATGCTGATATTTATTGTAACTTTATTGCATTCTTGCAATATGAGCCCCTACCGTCCGTTTGACGATAGTGTTTGGGCTGGCGTGTGAAGACGCCAATTCAGCAAATTCTCACAGTATGCTAATGCACACTGCTCCTCCAAATATGAACTTTGTAAAAACATATTTTTAATGAATAAAGTGAGTCTTAAAAGAGAAAACGGTTTTTAAATTACTACATGGCGACCGTGACATGTTTTAATAATAATAAATTATTATTAATAAATTAATAAATTATATTAAATTAATTGTGCACACATGATGACGAGTATGTGACTTCTAATCGCTAAAGCTATATAAATAACAATTTTGTTTTGATGGAAAATGGAAAATACGGGAAATATAGTGAAATTTACTTATCGTTGGTTATCCTGATTTGATGAAACTGACCAGTTTAGGCTACTTAAGCCTATAAGCTAATATTGATCGAATTGACCAGTTGGTTATCCTGATTTGATCGAATTGAACAGTTTAGTCTGAATAAGCCTGTAAGTTAATATTGATCGAATTGACCAGTTGAACTTGTTTATCGTTTGATATCCAAGAGACAAGTTGCTCGTTCTGTGAAATTCGCGTTCTTATATACTTGTTTGACCGGAGCTTTTCGGTGTAGCGTACCGGTAAACTTCGTTGTTCGTGTTAACTTTTGTGCTTTTTGTGAGCCTTTCTTGTGTATTTTGTGTATTGTCGTGTACTTCGTGTTATTTGCATTTTTGCGCACTTTGTTTTTTTCGCCTGCCTTTGTTTTCGCCGCGATTACGTTTTGTTCACTTCGCGTTACAATTCTTTTCTTTTAAACAAAATATGATTCAAAGAAAAATATATTTATAATTAAAATAAATATTAAGACAATATGTGCCAAAATATAAGTGAGTGATTTAATAAATGTGGTAACAGAATTTTAACGCTGCTGCGTAAAATCAGTGCCGATGTAATTGGAATTGTAGCTTGTTTTCTCCGTCTGTGGCTTGTTTATGTTTGGTTATAGAAAAATATATTTTTAATTAATACAGTGTTTATCCATAAAAGAAAGATAACCCAACCAAAGTATTTATAGCAGAAGTGGTTTTTTTCGATGTGTTATATTTTACGTTTTATTGTTTTTTTCTTTCTCTATTTTGTTTTTATGTTGTAAAAAAAATGTAAACAATGAGTGTTTTTCAATGTTGGTAATTTATTTTTTGAAATTAATGTTTATTAATTCAATATATAAAATGTGTTTTATTGTTTAATAAATGTTTCAGGTTCATTTGTTTTATTCCTTAATATATTTCAAGTTGTGTTTTAGTTTTATTACTTTTCTTTTTACTTTCTTCAGGTCAAGTCATGCCCTAATATTTGAATAACTCTTATTCTTTCTAGGTTGGGCACAGAATTTTGTTGAGGGTGAATTTACTTCTGGTGTTGTCCGAAATGGTGTTGGTGTTATGTTTTCTACTGACGGACTGACGTCAGACTTGTATACAATTACTTTGTAGCAATTTCAACCTTTACAAAGTAGAAGAAAATCAATTGTAACAAATGTTTTGTATCATGATAGAAAAGTCAATAGTAACAATTGTATATTTTTTAAGAACATGCTTTTACTTTATTGTTGCGATTTTTTTTATACTTACAAAAAAAACAACTGTTCGTGCGCGTGAATAACCAAATATCAGTTGTTGATTTTTAATTTCTTTTCAATTTAACAAACCCATCGAAACGTGGGTAAAAAAAAGAGGTGAGGGGTGCAAGTGCTCAGTGTTCCAGTTTGGTCATAAACTAGGAATACCTTTGAACTCACTCTTTTTTACAGAAGGAAAGGAAGAATTTAATTTAACAAATGTTGAAGTTTACACTGCAGATAATTTAAATATTCCACATGCAGATATTTGTGAATATATTGGACAATATAAAAATGACAGCAATTTCGTCATTTATATCAATTGTATGTAATATTCGTTCATATGTATTTGTGTATTTGTGTGTTTGTGTATTTGATCAGGAAATTTTTATTTCTGTGTACCGCATGGTAATAGTGCATGCAATTTTTGGGACATAGTTACATATTAGCATAGATGCTAATATTTCTCTATCAAAATTGCCACAATGTATCAACCACATTGTTGCATAAAAATTGGTCACATCATAAACTTTAATAAAAATTCCTTATATTTTAAAACATAAATAAACATAAATGAAACTCCTAAACGACCACACAGAATTATTTGAAAATTCCACTTATCCCAAACATTGTAAAAACGTTACACGTTTTTCACATTAAAAATTGTTACAAAGTAACAACCCCTTTCTTAATAGTGCATTTCCACTATGTACTTAGTAGGCTTCATTTACTGAGTAATAGTACATTCACACTATCTCATTTAGGCGGTTTTGCTCATTATAATCACTAATGAGCATGATTTACCATACAAAGAGCTTTCATATAAATGTGCTGATTTACAATAAATCAGCTCATTTTAGACCAAAATTGTCGAATGCAACCCTTTAAAAAAAATTTTCCAGAAGGGAAATGACCAAAATTTGAAGTATCTGTCATATATTTTTAAATATAAAATGTAAACAAACAACAATTGAGCTGTAAACAAGTACACTGAGAAAGTAGTATTAAATACAATCTGTTTTTATTAATTGAATATATAATTAATATATAACATGTATATAAATGATTTAATATATCAATGAAATATTTAATTTTTTAGTGAGATATATTCTTAAGTGAAGTTTGTTTATTTCAGATGGATTCATGTCAATGGCAAAAAGAAGTACGTACTAGTATTTAATAAAATTTTTTGTTTTCATGAATTAAATAGGCAATACAAATTTAAATAGTTAATTTTAGATTAATTTAATTAAATATTATTTTCAGGCACAGAAAATGAAGAGAAGGAGAAATGCTTGGTCGGAAAATGCCGAGAGGCACTTTTTAGAAATATGGGAGGAAAGACTGCCACAATTACGGGGCGCCCGACGGAACGCACATATTTTCAATGAGATGGCCACAGAACTTCAGAATAGGGGTTTTCTGGTCACTTCGTTAGAAGTGCAAACGAAGGTCCACAACTTTACACAAAGATAGGTAAGTATTTCATAAGTGAAATTGAAAATTACAATAATAATTTGTGCATTGAAACTGTTTTGTTTTTTATTATATTATGTAATTTTATATAAAAAAAAAGAGATTTAAATGTAATTTTGTTAATTTTTCTATTTATTTTTATTAATTTGCTTGTTTGTTTATTTTAAATCAGGAAAGAACAGCAGTGTGTTGGAGTTTCGGGAGGGGCGCCATCCGACTGGAAGTACTTTCATATATTGAAAAGATTCCTAGGCAATTTGCCCATACATAACACTACAAATTTAGGGTTTGAAAGTATTGCAGGTGAGTTTTCACAAATTTGTTTAAATTTTTCAAAATAATGAATGTGTTTATTTATCAGACCAGGGCCCGTCATCAAATGAGACATCGTTGCTGTCGCAATGCTCTTCTCCACCGATAGACCCAATATCTACGTCGGAAGATTCTGAAACACCTGCAAAAAAAAAAAAAAATAAAGGCAATTTGAATGACACCCTTTTGGAAAAATTTCAGAATCTAATAGATGTAGAGAACCGTCACATCGAGCTGCAGGAACGCACAGACGCAAGGTTCCTGAATTTAATGGAAGAAAGCAATGTTGCTTTATCCCGTATAGCGTCATCAATGGAAAGAGGTTTTTCATATACTCGGCTCACTAGTTACGATGACTCCAGCGATGAATAGCGATAATTATTTATTAATAATATAACATAATTTATAATTATTGTTATTGTTATTTGTTATTATTGTTTTTATTTTTGTAAATGTATAGGATAATTAGATTAAGTTATTTAGTGCTACAAAGTTAAAAATTAGGATTAGGTGAATTTCTAATAAAACTTACTAAAAAATGTAGCTAAACATCGTCTTATTTGTTCTGCATTTAGATCGCCGTCATTTAATACTGAAACTTCTTCTGGTTGTTGTCGTTCTGAAACCAGATGTTGTTTTTTCAGAGCACGTACCCAACTTTTTTCCACTACATCATTTTTTTCATTTAAAAAGTTGTGAAGAACACAGCAGGATCGTATTATGCTGTTCACGTTTTCGATTTTGTTGTCAATGCCCTTCCCTATTCTGCGAAACCTTGCCTTAAGCTGTCCAAAAGCATTTTCAACCACTCTTCGACATTTAGATAATTGGTAGTTAAAAGTTTTTTGACCAATGCTAGCGTTTTCATCATAAGGGTATGGTTTCATAACTTTGGTGGAAAATCGAAATGCAGAATCACCTAGGATCAATACGGGTATTTTGACACCATTAATCACCCTATTTTTGTGTTCTAAAGCAATACAATTTTCTAACTGGCTTTTAAGTGATGAATTTTCAAAAATAAAAGAGGCATTGACTCTTCCAGGATACCCAAAAGTTCTAAAAGCTGTATAAATGAGCTCATTATTATGTGAACGGTTCCTCATTTATATAAATGAGCAAGTGCCTAAATGAGATAGTGCGAATCTGGTATAAATTGCATTTGCCATACAAAGAGCTTCCGTGCTTTCTCATTTACTATAGAATACAGTAAGCAAAATTCGACCAAAATTATACCAAATATGACGAATGCAACATTGGAAATGATCGCAATTTGACATATTTGACATATGAAGCAAAATGTAAACATAAACAAACACTTAAAATTCAAAACTAACAACAGGTAAGAATTTTTTTAAACATTTTTCTTTTATAAATAAAATATATAAAAATAAGTTTATTTACCAAATATATATTTGATATAATATATATTTGATATATATTTGATATATTAATTAATAAAAAATATTTATTTTAGATTAATATCAGGAATAATATCAAAATCAAAATGGCTGAGAATTCACAAGTTAGTATTGTGCAGTTATAAATGGTATGTAATTAAAAAATAAATTATTATTAATTTTAGGTAAAGACAAATAAAAGATCCCGGAATGCCTGGACTGATGGCGGCGAACTCTTGCTGATTGAATTGTGGGAGGAGAATATATCTCAATTGCGGGGCCGCCGGCGATATAGCCATATATTTAAAAATATGGCGACGGAATTATGTAAAAGGGGTTACACGGTAACCGCTGTAGAAATGCAGAGAAAGGTGCACAACTTCACCCAACGCTTTAGGTGAGTGTTAAGTTAATAAGTAAAATTTCTATTTTTTATATCATTAATTATTTGTAATTAAAATAAAGCCACGTAATCGTTTACGCGGAAGTAATATTAGATGTTTTATTTAATAGTTCATTTCGTTAACTATATTTTTAATAATGTGTAATATATGTCATTAAATATTACGCTAAGTTACATCTTTTATGTTGAAACAGAAAGGAGCAGCAAAGTGTTGACGTGTCCGGAGGGTCCCATCAACTTGGAGGTATTTTGAAAGAATTAATAGGATTTTGGGAATTTTGCCACTGTACAACATTACTGGGCTAATTTCAAATAGTTTTGAAAGTACGTTTATATATATTTTTTTTGAATTCGTAAAATAAAGTAATTTATTTTTAATTAGACCAGCAACCAGCACCATCCACTTAATAAAAATAAAAATAAAAATAAAAAACAGTTTCATAGCTGACATTTCAAAATTATTTAGTTGTTTGGGTTTATACCTTGTTATGTTCTTGTCTGTACTTGTATTTTTTTTTTGTCTGTTTTTGTTTTTGCTTTGTCTTTGGTAAATTTTGAAATGTCGAGACGGTTATACCAAAGACAAAAGAAATATAAAGATGGTTCACTTCCATACATTTGCTTGTATTATGCAAAATTTTGTAGTGGACGCACGGCACGTCCCCATAAAATTTAAGAGAGCTGCGAAATGCTTTTTTCGAATGAAAAAGTTTGCTCTTATGTTTTCAATGTTTTTACTCTCTCCTTATGTTTTTCAATGCGTTGACTATTGACAGATGTATATTTATGTGATTGTATTAACGAACACAATGCAAGTGCATTTATTTGTTTTTGGCATTAATAAAAATTGCATATGAAAATAAGCATTGCAATTACGAATTAATATTCCTATTAAATTATTTTAACTCCTGTGTGGACTTTTTGAAGTTCACTATTTTTTACTTTATTTTATTATTATTATTGCTATATTATGTTAAATATAATATAATATATAGTTTAATAATTAGAGATATTTGATTTTATGTGACTTTAAAATATGATATCAAATTATATTTATATTTATATAACTCAATTTACATAACTATGTATGATTAGACAGAACCATTATTTCACATATAAGCATAATTAATTTGTAATTAAAATGTGAAACATCTCGCCAAAGACAAAATAACTTATTTAATTGTCTTATAATGACATATTCTGTTCTGTTTGCCGCCACTCGGCAAACACAACGGTAAATCTTTTGAAAACAAAAAAAACGTTACACAAATTTCGTCTCGTTTT